ATGCATTATTTCTACTCAGTTATATACAACTACAATATCATACAACTTAAATATAATTTTTATACAATGTTGTTCAACTTTCATACAATAGTTAAATAAATAAACGAAAAATATATAAATAACAGAATACAATTTTTCTACAATTTTACTACAATTTCGTAAATANAAAGCTTTTTAATGGCTGTTAATGGTGGAATTGCTGCTCTCTTTTCATTTGCTTTACATTATTGAAATTAGGGATTGAGAGATAGAGAGAGGCGTAGAGAGAATTCCCAATTCTTTAGAACAACACCCAATTCCAACAAATAATATTTTTTTAAAACCCAAATTCGAATTCAAAGCTTCGAAAGCTTTTTAATGGTTGTCAATGGTGGAATTGCTGCTCTCTTATGCAAGATACGTGGGGAGGGGGTGGGATGTGGAGAGAGAAACGTGAGGGGAGTGAAAAATACGTTAGAGTGATTTTAGGACACTAATTATTATCATTAATTCCCTTAAAATGTACATAAATAGTAATTCGTAAATAAAATATAATTATAGTAAAACTTGAGCAGGGAGGGTAATATAGTTTCATATAGTGTATAGGAATATAAAAATTCCTAAGCTAAATACCGATGGAGCCCATTCTTCAACAAATAACTACACGGGTATGGGAGGTGTAATCCGTAATGATAGAGGCGATTGGATTATGGGCTTCCCAAGTTCACTTCCTGCGTCCAACAGCCTTACGACTGTAATGTATGCTCTACTTCAAGGCCTTAAAATAGTACTTAGTTGGCAACTAACGCTACTGGATGTCGAACTGGATGCCAAAAAGGTAATCAACCTCCTACGAAATGATCATCCTCTATACACCAATATACTGTGTGATTGCAGGCACCTCCTCCAGCTGCTACATGATCCAATGGTGTTCCATGCGTACAGATAACTTAGCCACATATGAAAGTCAGATGGAACGTCACGCTGCTCCATCAGTTTTTGAAGAAACACCACTTTTTGTTTTACGGCTACTACTTGAAGATAAACAAGACCTGCCTCCTAGCAGCGTAATCCCGTCAACAGCCAAGAATGTCGCCAACAACATGGAGAATCACACAACTTTTGCTCACCACTCGGAAGTTGCTTTGATGGAAGTGAACTCCTTTCTGTCAACTAGACTTATAGAACCAGCTTAATGTAGCACATGGGATTGTAACACTAATAACATTAGCGTTAAAAATTCTAACTTAGATGATACTCCTTCTACTTCTTTTGAATGTTCTATGGTGCCACGACATCAATATCTATGTATGCATATGTTTTAATTAATATAAGTTATCTTTCCAACCCAAAAAAAGACCTCCAAGATAAGCGTTCTTTTATAATGTTTAGCACAGTGCATTGGGGCTACTCCTTATTCCTTACTAGTTTCTATTATATAGAAGAGCTAAGTTTGTCGACCAAGGGCAATATTCACATTTTAACCAAAACAATACTTGCTTCAGCAAAGACACGTGTTAAAGTCTCCATTCAGCTTCCATTTCTACTTTTTTCCTATGATTTTCAATTCATTTATTTCTCAATTTTGTCTTCTCTTTCTCCATTTTATCTTATTTACATTTCTTGATTTTGAAGAACTGAAAACTGCATCGTCATTTTTATAATTGGTTATTTTTCTTTTAATGAAAGATCGATTAAAATATATTCATTCTCCAGCTTGAGATTAGTAAGATATTTTATCTGTCTATTCCATTCTCCTTTCATCCCTCCATAGGTGGTGGCTGGACTATTTTGGTTGTATTATTCCCTTTATTTTATTGATTTCAAGCTTGGCTAACATGCAAGAGAAATTATGCTTCAAATTTGTTTGATTCGCTGCATATTTGAGTAAACAAGCTTATTCTACTCCAACACTAGAGAACCCATTTCATTGTTTCCTTGGTAAGTTCGATGCATCAGTATCTAGAGTGTTTTAATGTCTAATTATCTCTACATAATTCTTTATACACTTCAAAAGTGACCCACATTTATCTGATACCATTTAATTAGACTATTCTTTAATTCAATTCATTACGAAATAATCAATACAACCTAATTTTTGATTTGGGTTTTTGATTTTACCCTAGTGATTTTCGAATATATAGATTTTTAAAGCTAATGGCTACTTGTTTAGTTTCTACTCTTGAGTGTAGTTGTACCTTGTTAGAGAAGAATTTTGTCATTTCTTATTCTGTGATTTCATGGAAAAATTGACCCTTCAGATTTTAGCGTGGATTTCTTTCGATTTCTGCTTCAATCAAATAGCAGAGATTACACGTTTTTGTTAGGTTACATATATACAGTGGAATAATTCTTTTTAGACATAATTACTAGAAAATTCTTTCAACATAACTTTAATTATTTATCGATCTTAATTGCGCTCTCATATTCTGTTTACTTCTTTCACATTATATGTACTTGAGGGGCTTTTAGCTAAAAATAATATGCTTGCAGAGTGTTTGGAGTTATTAAACTATTTAATATGGAGTTGTTTCATGTATCTATTTACCGTTCTTAGTAACTTATCAGATTTAGTAATTTATTAATTCACTTAATATCTTGAATAATTGAGATGAAAATAAAGTAATTACACAATCTCTAAATTCCTACCTCACTGCTATATGTTACTTATGCAGTTCTTTTTATCCTTAATTAAAAGTCTCGAATTCCAGCTATGAGAATAAATATTCTTGTATAGAAAACGCTTTCCTTAATGGTTTTTACGTAACGTAAATTTTATAATCGTATCAGGACATTCCAAATATCAGATGGTTAAAATAAAAACAAAAGAAGAATAAGATGACTTAGGCTTTTGGGATAAGTATTAACATCGTTAACCTATAATTAGGTTACACTTTGTAGTTCACTAATCCATTGGCTTAGGCTTTGGTCTAATGTTGCATCCACTTTACAAGGTAAAATTCTGTCACGACCCTAAACCCAACCTGGTCGTGATGGCGCCTCTCGTGAAGATAAGGCCAGCCGACACACTTCCAGATCACTTTAGACAATTAAAATAATAACTACTAAGTCCTTAATCAGAAATAAAATCTCAAAGCAAGCATTTTAACAGTATAATTTGCGGAAATAAAACCAACACAGCCCGACATCGGGGTGTCACCAGTCATGAGCATCTAAAACAAAACTAGAAGTCTGAAGTCTAATCCACTACTACATAACTAAATCAAAAAAAAATAACTAAGATAGAGGGAGAATGCACTATGCTGCGAATCGCAAAGCAGCTACCTAGTAAATCTCCGAAGACCTGCTCGAATATCAACCCTCAGGAGCAGGACCCGTAGCGCCCGAATCTGCATACAGGGGTGCAAGGAGTAAAGTGAGTACTCCAACTCAGTGAGTAATAAAACTAAATGAAGACTGAGCAATATAAAATCACGTAAGGCACAACATTAAGCTAAAACAGGCATAACCTAATCAATAAATATAATTGAACAGTGAAATCTCATAAACATCTTTTAAGCAGTCAAACAATATATAGGAAAAACAACTAGAAAATATAAACACATAAGAACTGCCCCTCGGGCTCAGTAACAACAATAAAATCAGCCCCTCAGGCAATATCACAGAACAATACCAGCCTCTCGGGCTATATCTCATATCACAATGGGTACCCGTGCTCACTGGTGGTGTACAGACTCCGGGAGGGGCTCCTTACGGCCCAAGCATAATATCAAACCATCTCGTGGCATCATAAACAGGCTCTCGACCTCATATCAATCACAAGCCACCTCGTGGCGTACAACCTCAGGCCCTCGGCCTCATTATCATAATCAATATATCACTGTTGCGGCGTGCAACCCGATCCAAAATTATCCTCACAATACAGGCCCTCGGCCTTACTCAGTCTGAATCTCATAAGCCCCTCGGGCATCAGTAAAACATGAAGCTCAGCTCAAAATATCTTTAAAAATATCATTTAATGTGTTTAAAACAGAATAACATAGCTGAGTTTTGAAAATAGTAAAAATATAGCATGACCGAGCACAAGTTTGAAATCAAACAGTGAGGAAAATATCATTTAAAATCCCCTAAGGGTTCAAATAGTTGGCACGAAGCCCACATATGGCGTTTAGCCCAAAATATAATAATACAATTAACTGTCAAATACGCTGTAAAATAGTCATTTGAGATGGACTAAGTCACAAT